GACAAAGAAGTTAAGGATTTGGCTGTTGAGGCTACTTTATAGTTCATAGAGGTAGGTGTCTTCTAGATGTGACCTCACATGATGAAAGGGGCTAGCTAGCTCTCTGGGGCCTTTTTTACAAAGGCATTAAACCCAGACTTGAAGAAGAATCCCAATGACTTGATTACCTCTCAAAGGCCCCAACTTGTAACAGCAGTGCCTTTAGGAGTTAAGATTTTAACATACCAATCTGGGGTGGGTTAGGTGTTGAGAGGGACACAAACATTCAGAGCATAGCAATACAGAATATGGACAACTCCCCTTTCACAGTCAGAATTCTACCTTTGAGCTGGGTGCCTGTAATCCCAGTAACTTGGAAGACTGAGGCAAGAGGATCGTGGGTTCAAAGCCAGCCTCAGCAACTTAGCAAGACCCTGTCTCAAAAAATATGAAAAGCTGGGGGTGTGATTCCCTGGGTTCAATCCTTAATACCCAAAACAAAACAAAACCATGGCCCCCTACCTTTGACCATAAGTCTTCAAGTAAGGGAGCCATACATTCCAGAATGCAGTGCATCACTCCTTTTCCCTCCTCATCCATCCTTTTTCTTTAATTCATTTTCTCTGGAGCTATATCCTATATTAGGAAATGTAGTTTCCTGATTAACATAGATGATAATGAAATTAGAGGTTTAACATGAAATTCACCATCCCTAAACATACTATTCACATTGAGGTGTTGAAAGCCTAATTCTCCAAGTAGTATAGACATTGGTTCTATGAACTCCCTTCCCTCCTTTTGTTACAGAATAATTTTTCCTCCTAATCATAGCACTAACATATGGCATGTTATAAAATTTTTTAAGACGTTGGAAAAATATAAATAATAAGCATCCCTACAACCCTTTCCCAAATGTGAACATTAGCCTTTGTGCTTTTTTTTTTGGCTTTTGTTTTTCTTTTTATAGTACTGGAGTTCAAACTCCAGCTTCCTTGTGCTTTTTTTTTTTCTTTTTTATAGTACTGGAGTTCAAACTCAGGACACTGAAACACTAAGCTACATCACCTGACCTTTTCATTTTTTGAGACAGAGTCTAGATAGTTGCCCAGAGTGGCCTTGAAATTGTGATCCTCCTGTCTTAGCCTCCTGAATAGCTGTGATTAGAGATGTGTGCCACCATTACTGACCCTTCCCTGTGCCTTTTAAAATTACTCTTTTCTTTTTTCAAATTTGGGATCATACTCAAAATTTTTGTAGCTTGTAGTTAAGAAGTTGTATGAGGCCAGAGGTGTAGATAAATTGAAGAATGCATGTTTATCATGCACAAGGCCCTAGGTTTAATCCCTACTACCAAAAAATGAAAGAAGTTGCAAAGGAAGAAACCATAACACAAAATTATTCACTGGTGAAGTGACTGATTCATTACCACTCAACATACTTTATCTCTTAAAAATTTGACTTATTCTAACCTATCTAATAATTGTCTCTGTCTCCATGCTGTGGAGTATCATCCTGAAATCAGTAAAGGATGCTGTAGATCTCTGTGATCAGACAGATCTGTCTGGGTTAGACTAGTTGAAAAACCAAGGAAGAAAAAAGGAATCAATGGATGGTGACAGGATATGCACTTCGAAGAAGAAAGATTGAATGTAAAATAAATACTTAATATTTAATGATGAATATTAAAATGAGCTTTTGGGCACATTGATGTAGTTCTCATATAGTGTTGCCATATAAGTAAATCCAGATGAAAAAAAGGAAATGATGTGCTACTATTTATCCTTTTGATAAAAAAGTTACATTCTCTCATTGCAAAAAAATTCCACTATTGTATTAATTCTTTGACTTACTCTTTGATCTGTGATTAGGAACACCTGTATTTTTCTTACTTCTCTAGACTATTTTATTTTTGCTTCCATAAATAGTAACCAGATAGCCACATTTTCCTATTGACTAAACATATGCCTAGAAAAGCTAATTTTCTCTGAAATTAAATTCATGCTTTAAAAAACCTTGAAGCAGAAATTATAGTAAAAAAAATTAACTTTTTTTAGGTCTATGAGTCCAATATAGAAGGTGTTCACTCTGCTTTCTTCTGCAGTTCTTAAAAACAAATTTTACGTAATTTTTCACTGTTTGATTAGTGGATGACTGGTGACCATTAGACTAGAATACACACAAAATCTTTGCTAATCTATGAAAATGGGTTTTTAAGTATTGCTAAATTTGTGCTTTTAATTATCCTAGTTATCATATGAATCAGTCTCTAGAACACTTCTGCTATATTCACCATTCTCTGAGATCTTTCTCACATCTTACATACACATACACATACACACACACACACCACATATATATGGTAAAATGTGTGCTTATATATATTTCTATATACATATATGTATATATGTGTGTGTGTGTGTGTATGTTTATTTATTTATTTTTTGAGTACTAGGGATTGAACTCAGGGGCACTCATCAACTGAGCCACATCCCCAGCCATATTTTGTATTATAGGTCTCACTGAATTGCTTAGTGCCTTGCTGTTGCTGAGGTTGGCTTTGAACTCATGATCTTCCTACCTCAGCCTTCTGAGCTGCTGGGATTACAAGCATGCACCACCATGCCCAGTACATTTCACTATATTTGAGTCACCTGGGGATCTTGTAAAAATGCAGATTTTGAATTGTTGGTCATGAGGGTAATAGGAGTCAAAATTCTACATTTGGGACCAGCTCCCAACCATGCCAGGGCTACTGGCCTTTGGACTACACTCTGTTTGAATAACAAGGCTTTCATTAATAGTTTTGGAAACAGAAGCCAGGCAAAACCTATTGAAGTCATTTCTTGTTCTGATAACTTTATGGTACATGTGTAGTTTATTAGTATTGTGTATTTTCCCAATGGGAACGTGTGTTGAATTATCACTTGCAGTTATGTGAACTTTTCTATGATTTTTCTGTCAGGAGTGTTATTTATAGTGGTGATATTTGTAAAGAATGGTAACTGTTGAACCCCATCGCAAAGAAAAAGACCACCGGACTCCCATTTTAAATCAAATTAAGCAAGCTTGTATTTGTGTACACAAAGAGAGCTGATCGTTGGCTGTCTCTCCTAATGCAGGCTAGAGACCAGCACCCTAGCTCTTCAAGAACAAGATTTTATAACACAAAAAGTTGCAGAGGGGGGTGTCTTGAGAACTTACAGCCAACAGGATTTTAACAAACATAATACAAAGGCCAGATAGTAGGTTAATGATCTACATGGCATGATATTTCAAGGTAGGGAGTAAATTCAGATCCCAACATCAGAATTTATGAGATGCTGCTGAGGTTTCAGAGAAGGTTGTTATCTGGTCAGGGGGAGCCAGGATTTATGAGCCACCACTAAGGTTTTAGAGAAGGTTGTTATGTGGTCAGGGAAAGCCAGGCATGGGTGAGTTCAAGGCAAGGGCAGGAATTCCAAACAAGTTTAGAAATCGTAGTAATTATAGTAAAACAGAAATTAACTTTTCATGACTTTTTGACAAGATGGCTCTTAAGAAGGAATTAGGCTGGGTTCATCAGTAACATACCAATGATGATATAATGGTTAATATGTACTGACTTCAGATGCTGCTTTACAAAAGTTGACTAAATTTTCTCAACAAAACCATGAAGTAGACATTATTATTACTATCCTCCTTTACAAAGGAGGAGTCTGAAACACAAGTTCATTTTCATTCTTTACAGGTAACACAGCTATCAGGTAAACAAGCCAGGATATCAGCTCAGATAGTCCAATTCAAGAGCTCATACCTTTAATCTTGTTCCTAGTCTGATACAGTCCAAAAATTTATATAACATATATATGAATTTTCTAGTTCTTTCACAGTTCATATAAGATAATGTTTGAATTTTTCAGTTTCTTTCCTAAAAGGGTTCTGAAATGTAATTTTCTTCTTCTTTATGTTTTCCATCCTTGTGGCTTTGCCGCACATACTGATGACTTGTAATTTGTAACTAGTTTTTTCTTTTTTTAGTTTCCATTTTGCATGTGTATTTAGAGAAAATGTTTTAACTGTCCATTTGCTTTATTGTGGAAATTTATGAAGAATGAAAAGTAGTACCCTACCCTGAAAGAAAGCTAAAAGATTTTACTAAGGTTTAGACTATGTTTTCTGCAAGAGTAGCCCAGGAAAGTAGCATCTTACAGATTGTCACGGAAAACTAGTTGATGTGTGTGTGTGTATGAGAGAGAGAGAGATACACTAGGGATTGAACCAAGAGGTACTCCACCACTGAGCTACATTCCCAGCCCTTTTTATTTTGCGACACTGTTTTACTAAATTTCTTTCTTTTTTTTTTTTTTGTAAGAGAGAGAGAGAGAGAGAATTTTAATATTTTATTTTTTAGTTTTCGGCGGACACAACATCTTTGTTTGTATGTGGTGCTGAGGATCGAACCCGGGCCGCATGCATGCCAGGCGAGCGCGCTACCGCTTGAGCCACATCCCCAGCCCTGTTTTGCTAAATTTCGCAGCTTGGCTTTGAAGCTGGTAATCCTCCTGCCTCAGTCTCCTGAGTAATAGGGATTATAGGTGTGCCAGTTCTTCAGTACATTTTTAAAATTTTGAATTTTTTTTCAATCCAAATGGTAATTGTATGTAGTGACAAGTATAGAGACATACCTTCCATTCTAAGTTCTACCAAAGCACCAGATGATCTTAGAGAAGCTAAGAGCTCTATGCCCAACTTCTCAGCCAATCAGATGTCAGCACTATAGATATATAGTACTTGAGCTGGTCTATCTTCATGTTAAGGAGAAAAGAACACAGGGAAAGAGAGTATTTCTAAGTGCATAGGTTGTTGGTGGAAATTGAGTAGAAATTAGTTTAGCTTAGAAAAATGTGTTACTTCATTTTCAGGTTAATTTCATAGTCAGTAAGCCAGAAGAGGTCATGATGATAAATAAGATTATAGCTATATTATTATTTATCTCAAAGTAATATGAAGTTATTTACTTTCATTATCTTTTCCTTTTACAGTCCATCAATATTATGGAGCTGACTTTACAGAAATATGGAAGCTATGAAAAATTTGAACAAGCTACTGGTGGTAGTTTGTTATCTAAACCTCGAATCTGGAATCATGTTAGGAAGTACATGATGAAGGAAGGCTGCCTGGGAGAGGTATGGATCATGAGTGAATACTACAGGAGTTGGCTGTGGCATTCTAATACTCAGTGCCATATAATTTTTTCCTGCAGGTTTTGTTTGCCAACCCAAATTTACTCCTTATATTAGTCACCGGATTTCTCACTAATAAATATTTTAAGTTCCTCTTGTCTTGATGTGTTCAGTTTCTTTGTATTTCTTCTTTTATTACTGACATTTCTGTGTAGCTTGTGGGATTACAAGAAAAACTTGTTAAATGAGGAGTTTTTCCTGAGAGTCTCTCTTATTAGTAGTCTGATCTTAGTGGCCAATCTTAGAGCCCTGGCACTGGCAACAAACAGAAATCTGTTGGTCCTTCTTTTGCATCATTTTAGCCAGGGCTATTTGAGAAGACCCCACAGGTAAAATTTTAAGTTCTCTGTTGTTTTCTGTGAAAGCTTTTTTTCCCTTACCCCTTTATATTTTGTGGTGTGTGTGTGTGTGTGTGTGTGTTGTGTGTCTGAATGTGTGTGTGTGACACACATATTGTCCCCTGCCCCTTGCTCCTTAGATTGTAGTTCATCTCACTGAGGACCTACTTTCCCGTGCTTCAATGACAGTAGTAAATGGATGTCCAACTCTGACCATCAATGTTTCCACTGCACGTGAGCATTGGCTGGAGGGAATGCTGAGGCACGAAATAGGTATGAGTAACACTTTTCCTTTTTTTTCTATTTGTAATATCAGGAATTAGCCCCAAAGAAATATTCTTAATAGTATTCAGTAAAATGTCACGAGGTGTTTAAGCTTTGGTTGGACTAAAGGTAAATTATCTATATCTCTTTTCAAATTAGATTTTTTAACTGTGGTAAGCTTGAAGTCACTTAACTCCTCTGGATTTCAGTTCACTCACCTTAAACTGAGGGGGTTCAGTGACTCTAAGATTTTTTAAAAATATCAGTCTGATTCTTCCCTCTTAACAATATAGTTGTAAAGGTTATACCCTTTCACATGAGACATATGGACCTTGTAAAGACAGCAGCCTACTTTAGACCTCAAAGGCTTAGGCTCAGGTCATTTTCTACTTTGTTTTTATCTGTAGGTACACATCAATTTAGTTTTAGAACTGTTTATGCAATATTTTCTATGAGTTTTCTGTTACTATAACAGATAAGTGAGGCAATCAACTTGGAATACGTTTATTTTGGTTGACAGTATTGGAGTTTTCAGTTCAGGATCATTTGGCCCCCTTGCTTTTAGGACTGTGGTGAGATTGCACATTATAGTAGGAGTGTGTGCTGAGCAAAAATTCTCAACTCACAGCCAGAAAGAGAAAAGAAAAATAAGGGACTGAAATAATCACTGCCTCCAGTTACCTGAAGGCCTCCCCCTGGGCCTTTCTAGCACTTAGGCCTTTGGGGGGCGCACTAGCTCCAAACTTTAGCATTTTCTTTGGAAAAGAATTTTTAAAAGAATGCCTTTTTTTTTTTTTTTATTATTCTTTTCCATAGGCACACATTATTTTCGAGGCATTAATAATCTGCAGCAACCATGGAATAGTTGGATTGGTCGTAAAAAACATGAGCTAAAGCCAAACAATCCTACAGAAGAAGGACTGGCAAGTATTCACAGTGTCCTGTTCAGAAAAGACCCCTTTTTATGGAGGGCTGCCCTCCTCTACTACACTGTTTATCAAGCCAGCCAAATGTCTTTTTGTGAACTCTTCAAAGACATTGGCAAATTTGTCAAGGACCCTAATACAAGGTGGGATTATTGTGTACGAGCCAAAAGAGGATGGACTGATACTTCTCAACCAGGTAGGTGTCTCTTGACTGTGGGTTTTTGACTTAATGATTAGTTATCTAAGTGATTCTAGTCATATCCTAATCTCTTAATTTGATAATTCACTCACCTATGAAAAAAAAATAAACCTTTGTTATTGAGACAGAACCAATTTTCTAAAAACACATTTTCTCCACTTTACTCTTGCCTAGCTTATTTTTAAAAACTTTAGACCAACAATATGGAAAGAATAGTATAGATGAAATATTCCCTTCATCTAGATTCACAGGTATTAAATTTTTTTGCCATTTTTACTTTATCTCCCTTTAAAAACAGTATATTTCCAAGAGAGGTGTGCACACACCTATAATCCCAGCTACTTGAAAGACTGAAGAAGTAGCAAGTTGAGGCCAGCCTGAGCAACCTAGTGAGAGCCTATTTCAAAATAAAAATAAATCCCTATCTATGGCAGAGTACTTGCCTTGCCCACAAGAGGTCCTTGATCCTCAGTACTGAAAACGGGGGTGGGGAGGAAGCTTTCTTGAGATATAATTCACATACTTTAAATTCGCCCATTTAAAATGTAAAGTTTAGTGGGTTTTAGAGTATTCAGAGTTGTGCAGCCATCACTACTAATTTCAGAATATTCTCATCACATCCACCCACTGCAAAACACCCATATCAATTTTCAGTCATTCCCACCAGTGTATGAGTACTCCTCTTCGCTGTCCTGTACCCCTGCCAACCCCCGCTTTTTTTTTAAACCCAGAGGCATTTTACCACTGAGCCACATACCCAGCCATTTCATGTTTTATTTTGAGACAGGGGCTCACAAAGTTGCTTAGAGCCTCACTAAATTGCTGAGGCTGGCCATGAACTTTGGGGTCCTCCTGCCTCAGCCTCCTGACCCACTGAATTATAGGCATGCAACACCATGCCTGGCTTTTTTCTACATATTTGCCAATAATTGCTATGTTCATTTTGTAAACTAGCATTATTATTTGAACTTCCCAGTGGTTATGGAGAGGTAACTTATTACAGTTTTGCATTTACCTGATGACTAATGACATTAAGCTTTTTAAAATTTGCTTATTGGCCATTTGTGTAGCTGCTTTTGAGTACTGTCTGCTTGGTCTTTTCCCTATTTTTAAATTGGATTGTCTTTTTATTATTGAACTACAAATTATACACACACACACATATTTTGTAAGGTTTATGATTTACAAATATTTTCTACCATTCTGTGGGTTGTTTTTTCACTTTCTTGATGGTGTTTTTTGACTTTTAAATCTAAGGTTTTTTTAAGTTGGTGTATTATAATTATACATAACAATGGGATTGGATGTTACATATTTATATATGCACATAATTTGGTCAGTTTCATTCCTATCTCTCCTTTCCCTTCTCTCCTCCCTTCTCCAGGTTCCCTACCTCTCTTCTACTGGTTTCTCTTCTATTTTCATGAAATCCTACCGCTTTTGTTCTTTTTTTCTAACCTCCACATACAAGAGAAAACATGACTTTTGACTTTGAGTCTAACTTATTTCACTTTGTATAATGCTCTCAAGTTCCATTCATTTTTCTGCAAATGACATAATTTTGTTCTTTTTATGGTTGAAAACTCCATTGTGTGTATATACCACATTTTCTTTATCCATTCATCTGTTGACAGATACCTAGACTGGTTCTGTAATTTGGTGATTATGAATTATGCTACTATAAACTGAGTTCACCTATATCACTATGGTATGCTGAATTTAATTCTTCTGGATAAATACTAAGAATAGTATAGCTGTTCCATTCCTAATTGTTGTTTTTTGCTAAGAAATTTAGCATTTCTTTACTTTTAAATTACCTAAATTGATTTAGTTTATGTTTGAAGGCCACTCCATAGTCAAAATGCAAAATTCAGAAGGTAAAAAATTATGCAATGGAAAGTAATTTTTTCCTCATCCATGTCTCCAACATCTAGTTTTTAAAAATTTTTATTAGTTCCAATCAGTTGTACATGACAATAGAAAGCTTTTTGATTCATTGTATACAAATGGAGCACAACTTTTTATTTCTCTGGTTGTTTACAATGTAGAGTTGCACCACATGTGCAGTCATACATGTACCTAATGATGTTCATTTCATTTCACCATCTTTCCTACCCCTATGCCCCCTCCCTTTTCCTCCCTCCCCTTGGCCCAGTCAAAGTTCCTTCATTCTCCTCCTCACCCACATTACAGATCAGTGTCCACTTATCAGACAGAACATTTGGCCTTTGGTTTGGGGGGATTGTCTTAATTTGCTTAGCATGATATTCTCCAACTGCATCCATTTATCTGCAAATGCCATAATTTTATTCTCTTTTAATGCTAAGTAATATTCCATTGTGTGTATGTA